GACAGTTTCATTCGTCTCAATTCATCAATCAATAAAAAACCACACGGCATACGAATCAAATGACGAAATTTTAAATTCAAACAAACGAAATAATTTAGTGATCAAGTGAATAAACAAACATCAGCAAACGAAAAAATTGCTAAAAATGATAACTAAAACGATGCAACCCATCAAACTATTCAATAAGCAGAACTAATGAGAGAAGAGTAAAATCGCACCAATAACCAAAACATGTTTCGAACGATTTCTATTCAATGAGGTATCTTCCAAACCGACATCACCATTACTCGCAAAATTCAATTCGAACGTTGGCGATGTCTTTTGATCACTTGTTTTGTTCAAATCTGTAAATGGGAACAAACTTCAATTAGTCTTGAATATGAAAGTGTTTTTTATGTAATATAATAACTGCCTGGAAAATCTATAACAATTTTCACTTAGGATGAAAAAAGTAACGATTTTTCATCACTTTACTATGCTTCGTTCAACACTAATTAGGTTATCTGTGTAAAAGATCGTATATAAACAACGACTATATAATAAATCTGAAATAAAACCAGATGAAATAGAGGCAAATTGAAATAAATTACCATCGAGACAGATAATTAACTGTGAAACGATTCGTTTTTCCATCTCACGATGTGTACTATCACGTTTTTGAGCGATAACATCAATCTCGTCAATCAACAATATGCACGGTGCTGATTCTTGCGCTTTCATGAATAACTCTCGCAACTTCGACTCTGACTCACCCGATATTCCAGATATTAATTCAGTCGACGCTATCTTTAGTAACGGTAGATTCAGTTCCTTAATTCAAATTCACTGAATGAACGATCAGTAGGTATACAATTCAATTAGAAATTCACTGTTGAATGTTGAAGAGTAATTCACTGATGAAAAAAAGTACAAGAGCACAACCAATTGATACTTATGTTAACTTGTTCAAGAAAGTGATGAAAGTGTAACACTCCACTCTACTTCAAGTAAGAATCAAATCGCTAGCGCAATGAACTTAAGCTTTTTTCGCCTTTCATTTCTAGTTGATAAGGAAGTATTTCACTGATGACAACAAATTTTTTTCATTTCGTTTCAAAACTTTTGCACGAATATTCTTCATATTCAATATTTCACGTAACTCTCTTAATGCACAACCATGGCGAATGAGTATTACGATTAGAATGATTGAAAATCAGTTTAATATCAAGAACCGATCAGGAAAATGTCAGAAAAACACGAACTCCGGCAACAGCATGTGCAAATAACGTTTTCCCACATCCAGGTGGACCGTGCAGAAGAAATCCT